TGTCAGACCTGGTTCTCTAGCAGCCTGGCACTGCATGGTGGTTTTGTGAAGCTCACAATTCAACACTCTGAAGAGACCACCCAGCTTCCTCTCCCAGAGTCTCCCAGAGAACAAAACTGTCCCTCTGTGCGCCAGTGACCTCTCCCTCTGACGGCCCCCTCCCACTGCTGTCCTGGCCTCACAGCCAAGTGGAAATGGAAAAGCCAGTCAAGCCTTCCCTTGGTGGGAACCAGGGGATGCGATGCTAAAAGGGCCCACAGAGGAAGGCCACTCTGAGCCTGGAATACTGCTGCCACCGCGTGGCAAGGGCCTCCCGGGCCAGAGCAGCCCACACTGTACAGAAACGCCGAATGTTTTCTAGAAACCCATTGTGGATGGGCTCAAGGAGGGCTGTAGGTTGAGAAATAGCTCAGAAGTCCGAATGAAAACTGAACTTGAAGAAGTGTCTGCAGCATGATCCTCAAAGTGTAGGACCGGATAGATATTACATCCCTTGGGAACTTACTAGAAATGCTAGTTCTCAGGTGCCATCCTCAACCTGGAGTCAGACACTGGCAGGTGGAATCCAGCTGTCCACTTTATTTATTTTTTACATTCCAATCCCATTTCCCCCTCCCTCCTCTCCCCCTGTTCCTCCCACTTCCCCTCCCCCCATCGCTCATCTGCTCTTCTGAGAGGGTAAAGCCTCCCCTAGGAAGTCTACTAAGTCTGTCCATCATCTCGTTGAGGCAGGACCAAGGTACCTTCCCACCCACACCCACACTTCTGTGTCTAGGCTGAGCAAGGTATCTCTCCATATAGAATGGGCTCCACTAATGTGCATTAGTGTTAGGTCTTGGATCCACTGCCAGTGTCTCAGCTGCACCATGGTCACCTATATTTATGGAGTCTAGTTGTGTCTTTTGCAGGTTCCTCATTTGTCAGACCAGAGTCAGTGATCTCTCACTCGCTCAGGTCAGCTGATTCTGTGGGTTTCCCCATAATGGTCTTGACTCCTTTGTTCATATTATCACTCCTCCCTCACTTTGATTGTACTCCAGGAGCTTAGCCCAATTGTTAGTTGTGGATTTCTGCATCTGCTTCCATCTGTTTCTGGAAGAAGGCTCTAGCTTCTCTGGGGTTGTGGATTGTAGGCTGGGTATCTTTTGCTTTATGTCTGGTATCTACCTATGAGTGAGTAGATACTGCATTTGTCTTTCTGGGTCTAGGTTACCTCACTCAGGATGTTTTGTTGTTGTTGTTGTTGTTGTTGTTTTTCTAGTTCTGTCCATATGCCTGCAAATTTTAGGATGTCATTGTTTCTTACCACTGAGTACCATTGTGTAAATGTAACACATTTCCATTCTTCAATTAAGGGACATCTAGATTGTTTCCAAGGTCTGGCTGTTACAAATAATGTTTCTATGAACATAGTTGAGCAAATGTCCTTGTGGTGTGAATGTGCCTCCTTTGTGTATATGCCCCAAAGTGGTATTGAAGGGCCTTGATGTAGGTTGATCCCTAATTTTCTGAGAAATCGACTGATTTTCACAGCAGCTGTACAAGTTTGCACTCCCATCAGCAATGGAGGAGTGTTGCCCTTTCTCCATATCCTCTCCTGCATAAGCTGTCATTGGTGGTTTTGATCTTAGCCATCATGATCAGTGTAAGATGGAAGCTCAGAGTGGTTTTGATTTGCATTTCCCTGATGACTAAGGATGTTGAGCATGTCCTTAAGTGTCTTTCTGCCATTTGAGATTGTTCTGTTGAGAATTTGTTTAAATCTGTACCCCATATTTTCCCTTTAAATTAGAAACAAGCTTGTTTTACATGTCAATCCCAGTTCCCTCTCCCTCTTCGCCTCCCCTGCCCCCCACTAACCTCCTATTCCATCTCCTTCCTGCTCCCCAGGGAGGGTGAGGCTTTCCATGGGGGATCTTCAAAGTCTGTCATATCATTTGGAGCAGGGCCTAGGCCCTCCCCGTGTGTCTAGGCTGAGAGAGTATCCCTCTATGTGGAATGGGCTCCTAAAGTCCATTTGTATACTAGGGATAAATACTGAACCATTGCCAGAAGCCCTATAGATTGCCCAGGCCTCCTAACTGACACCCACGTTCAGGGGGTCTGGGTCAGTCCTATGCTGGTTTCCCAGCTATCAGTCTGGGGTCCATGAGCTCCCTCTTGTTCAGGTCAGCTGTTTCTGTGGGTTTCTCCAGCCTGGTCTTGACCCTTTTGCTCATTATTCGTCCCTCTCTGCAACTGGATTCCAGAGTTCAGCTCAACGTTTAGCTGTGGGTGTCTGCTTCTGCTTCCATCAGCTACTGGATGTAGGCTCTAGAGTGGCATATAAGGTAGCCATCAATCTCATTATTGGGGAAGGGCATTTAAGGCAGCCTCCCCACTATTGCTTAGATTGTTAGTTGAGGTCATCCTTGTAGATCTCTGGACATTTCCCTAGTGCCAGATTTCTCTTTAAACCTATAATGGCTCCCTCTATTATGGTATCTCCTTTCTTCCTCTCCTCAATGCTTCCCCTGACTCAATCTTCCACTCCCTCATGTCCTCCTCTCCTCTCCTCTTCTCCTCTTCTCTTTCTCCTAACTCCCTCTCCCCTCTCCACATGCTCCCAATTTGCTCAGATCTCATCCCTTTCCCTTTCTCCAGAGAACCACGTTTCTCTTTAAGTCCTCCTTGTTTCCTAGCTTTTTTAGTGGTGTGGATTGTAGGCTGGTAATCCTTTGCTCTATGTCTAAAACCCATATATGAATGAGTACATACCATGTTTGTCTTTTTGTGAGTGCTGTACCCCATTTTTAATTGGATTTTTTGGTAGTTTGATGTTTAGTTTCTTGAGTTCTTTGTGTATTTTGGAGATCAGCCCTCTGTCAGATGTGGGATTGATGAAGATATTTTCCCATTCTGAAGGGAGCCATTTTGTCTTATTGACTGTGTTCTTTAATTTACAGAAGCTTCTTAGTTTCAGGAGTTGCCATTTATTAATTGTTGCTCTCAGTGTCTGTGCTACTGGTGTTTTATTTAGAAGTGATCTCCTGTGCCTATGCATTCAAATGTATTTCCCACTTTCTCTTCTATGAGATTCAGTGTGGATGGATTTATAGTGAGGTCTTTGATCTTTTGAACTTGAGTTTTGTGCATGGTGATAGATATGGATCTATTTGCATTCTTCTACATATGGGCAGCCAGTTATACCAACACCATTTGTTGGATATGTTTTATTTTTTCCATTTTATATTTTTAGCTTGTTTGTCAAAAATTAGGTGTTTGTAGGTATGCAGGTTAATATCAGGGTCTTCAGTTCAATTCCATTGGTCTACCTGTCTGTTTTTATGCCAATACCAAGTTGTTTTCATTATTACAACTCTATAGTAGAGCTTGAAGTCAGGGATGGGGATGCCCCCAGATGAGTCTTGATTATACAGGTTGTTTGGGCTATCCTGAGTTTTTTGTTTTTTCCATATGAAGTTGACTATTGTTCTTTCAAGGTCTGTGAAGAATTGTGCTGGGATTTTGATGGGGCCAGCAGTCCACTTTAACAAAACTGTTGCACACCAAGGCTTTAGGACCACTAATCTTGAGTCTGAGAAGGAAGGGACTGTGAAACTGACCACAAGTGGTTTTGTTCCTTTCTTAGTGAAGTGCTGTGGCTCTTGGGCAGGTTGTTCAACATTCCCATGCTTCTCTGGCTCATTTTTACTTCCTAGGATTATGGTGGAATAGATTAGATACGTACTTGAAAAAATGATTTTGTTCAAGGGCTTACTATACTGAGCTAATAAATTTGTCATGATACCACTGCAGTCCACAGAGAAAATTCAGGTCCTTCATTTATTTAACAGGTATTTGTGGAATGTCAGTCATGTGCTGGGCACAGTAATGGGCACTATAGATAAAGCCCCTCCCTTTGTGGAGCTCTATTTTATTCAGGTGTAAAATAGATTTCTGAGAACTAAACTACATCTTGCCTCCAATATTTGTATACTGAAATTCAACCCCCATGAACATGCATGCTCAGAGCAAAGGCCATATACCTGAAAGCCAAGAAAGGACCACTTACCAGAAGTCAATCATGCTGTCACTCCAAGGACCTTCAGCCTCCAGACTGTGCCAAATAAATGTGTTTCCTTTTAGTTGCCCAGTCTGTGGTGTTTCATTATGGCAGCCCAAGCAGACTAAAACATGGGATAAAAATAGTCACTGATGGCTGGAGAGATGGCTCAAAGGTTAAGAACACTGGCTGTTCTTCCAGAGGACCCAGGTTCAATTCCCAGCAACCACATGGTGGCTCACAACCATCTATAATTTGATATGATGCCCTCTTCCTGCATGTAGGCAGAACACTGTATACATAATAAATAAATTTTAAAAAAAAGAATAGTCACTGTTATGAAGAACAATAGCCGGGGGTGGGGGGAGATCTGGAGAGGGACCAGAGAAATGTACGTACAGGGTGGTCAAAGAGGCTTCCTGGGAAAGTCTTTTGTAAAAGATCTTAATGAAGTAAAGCACCAGCTTTGGACTTCAAGGGAAGGAAAAGCTGGTGGCAAAGCACCTCAGGTGTGCAGTGTGGACTGCCCAGGAAGCAAAGTACCATGAGCAGCCAGTGTGGCTGGATGAAGGGGATGGAGACAGATAAGGACTGAGGCTCCATCTGGGAGGGTCTTACAAAGCACACGGAAGAGGAGGGCTTTAGTCTATGTATGGTGGGATGCCTCTGGGAACGAAGGGTTAAGAGACCCTTTACTTAGATGTGAATGTGCCACCTCCAAAATTCAGTCGTCGATAGCATGGTGATAGTAAGCATTGGGCCTTTAAGATGTGAGGAAGCCAAGGACGCTTCTGCTTCATCAACAGTGACTAGAATAATAAAGCCCTTAAAAATGAGGCTCCCTGCAGCCTTGGGTTGCTCACGTCCTGAGCAACCCAAGGCTGAGCAAGGTTGCTTCCACCTGAGAAGACAGTGTTCTTCCTTCCAGAGGATGAGCTCCTCCACAGACAACTGAACCTTTATCTTCAGTTCTCTAGCATCGCAGGAAGGTAAACCCTTGCTCTTCATAAATTCCCCAGTGTCCGGTATTTGATGATAGCAAATGGGACTGAGATAATACATAACTTCTCTGTTTGTCCTTCAGCTTGACAGTTTTTGCCCAAATCTTCAGGGTAAGTCAGTGATGTTCTAATGAGATGGTCAGCATCCTTCAACGCCATTTCCTGCTCTTCCTGCTCCCTTTTCTCTTCCCTACATTCTTCAATCATCCCTACCTGGCCTATCAAGAGAGGGCCCCATGAGACCCCCCTGTTTCTCCACCTGTCATCCCCATTTCACAGGAATGAGAATAACTCAGATATGAAAGTCACCCTCTGTTGGTCGGGGCACAAAACACAGCCAGGGAATGAGATGAGGTCAGGGCACACAGCATTCTCTTCAGAAACCTCCCCTATGGCATCCTTATTTTCCAGCCATATCTGCAGCTGGAAGGTCTGGGTTCTGCACTGCCCACTTCCCCTTTTGCATAAGAACCCTGTGGTCTGGCTCACGATAAGTAAGGTGGAAAATGAGGGAATTTAGCAAATTGGATCCCTCCATAATACCTGCTCTCAAGCCGATTGCCTTGAAACAAGATCCTATTTTGAGAGCCAAATCCTGAGTACTGTCGATTTCTCTCTACCATAATTATTCCAATTTCTTCAGGCAAATGAGTGGCCTTGGCCGGCTTGGCAGAAAGTATATTCTGTGAAGTAAAAGAGAAAATTACATCAACTCTTCCTCAAATATTATATCATTGTTATGGGGGTGGGGAAGGCCTGGCAGCAGAGAATTCTTCTCTGTAGTTCTTTTTCATACAAGTTTTTCAAAACCTCATCTCCAGCTTCCTAGTTCTCCCTTGGAGATTTATTCACTTATGAAACTCAAACTACTTGGGTCTTTTATGTCAGACTTGAGTTTTTCCCTCCATAATTTATTCCACATATCCCTCCCTTGAAGTTGCAGGTCGTGTCAGGTCAGGCCACCAGGTCACGCTTAACTTCCTGGACTTCAGAGGCCCTATGAGCTTATCCCTTTATGGGCTGAGAGCCCCCACGGAAATAGGCCATCCTGGACTTCAGATGCTGAAGGAGCTTGGCCCCAACTTCTCACCATGGATGGATTGTGTCTGGATCCTCTCTGGTTCTTTCCTCGTAAAAGAACCCTCATGAGGAGAGGTGGCATCACCCAAAGTTAACGGGCATCTTCTCCAAGCCTTCCCTCCAAAAAGATGGCTTCTTGTCTGGACCGGAAGCATCGATGGGGCGGCAGCAGCCTCTCTCCAAAGCCATTCCCATTGTGCAGAAGGAAGTCATGGGTCCATCCTAGCAGAGTGAAAAACTCCCTTGTCCATCACCTTCTACTCACCTTGTCCTGCTCTACCCCGTGCTCTCTGTGAGCTCCTGAGAGCGGAGTCACTCCTGGTTAAGTCTGCGCACCGGCTGTGTAGCCTGAAGCTCCAGATGCGCATCAGAACCTTTTTCTTTTAAAACTGTATTTATTTGTTTGTTTGCATATTATTGGAAAAGACATGTGTGAAGGCTAGAGGACAGCTTGTGAGAGTCAGTTCCTTCCTCCCCACTGTTTAGGATCTAGGGATTGAACTCAAGCAAATGCCTTAACCCACTGAGCCATCTCTCCAGCCCCAGCCTCCTTTTTTTTCCCCCACATTCTAGTACCTGCACTGGTAACTTCCCATCTCTATACCCAGTATCGCCTCCTTCTCTGGGGAAGCAACATTAGACTCAAAGAAGTTTGTGGAGATTTAATCAAGACACTCTTGGCTCAGGCCCAGCACCTAACGTGCTCAAAAAATTATATCTTTATTAGGGCTGAAGTTAAGCAGAACACCAGTGCACCACTCTGGCCACAAGGGCTCTGTGTAGTGATGTCACTTCTGAAAAATCAGCAGCGCCAAGGACTTTTCCTGCTGTTGTCAATGCCAATGTCCTCACTAAGCGCTGCTTTCCTGTGTTTAGTCTCCTGTGACTGCGTCTGCAGAGGGAACAAGGCTGCCACAGGATGGCAGCAGATGGCCGCCATGGTGCTTTCAGGCTCTAAAGCCACATCAGTCTGTTGAAGTGAGCTATTCAGCTGGAATATCACTGTAAGACAGGTCCAGGGAATCTGGTGCTCCAGGGAGGACTATCTATCAACACATCACAAGAAAACTGGCACAGATTAAGGCTCAGAGGGGCTGGAGTATAACAAAATCCCTTGCTTCCTCGGGGATCTATGAGACTCTCAAAATGAAAACAAACAAACAAAAAACACCATCAACAATAAAATACCCACCTTACATAAACTCCTATAAGACAAATCCTAGGTCCTAGTGTCAGTCTTCCCAGATCTTCCTCACCACCCAAGTGTCCCTTGTTATAACTCTCTGAAAAAGACATCTGGCCCACCAGTTCCGGGCTCATGATAATTGTGCATTAATTTATCTATTTGTGGGGTGCCTACTATTTGCTAGACAAGAACAGATCCTATCAAGGAAAACAAAGAAGCAATGGTATTCATGTGTTGCCATCAAGAAGAAGATGAGGCAGGGTGTCCCAGGGGACCACAAACCACGTCCATCTTCAACCCTCCAAATCTCGATGTGGTAGTTTGTCTGACGTTCGGGCCCAAGCACTGTGACACATGGACTACAGCAGGACCACTTCATGCTTACATGTCTCTAGACTCTGGTTTAAGTACTCAATTGCACATCAGAAATGCTCTAATTTAATTTAATTATAACATGTCTTGTCATGTATAGTATAAAAATCTTCACATACAGAATGGGGAAGCATGTGCTAAAAGCCTATTGCCTGTCAGGACCTCACAACAACCCTGTATATAGGCCTTATTTTAGTTACTTGGATATGAGAAAATGGAGACTCACAGGACAAGTGGTTTATTCAATGTAAACTTTCAATTTAAACCATGTCTACATCCAAAGCAGGTGTTCCCCTGCCATGGTCTACTCCAACCCTGGAAGTTAACTCTGGGTAAGCACTGAACATTCAGAACTTCATCTAAAACATTCTGGAGGTTTGAGGTTAGTGGGCCCCAGATAGCATTTTTAAATGAAAGAATATAAATTCATAGATACGAAAGCCCTATTTTGAGAAAATTTCAGTTACTTTTATATATATTCGTTTATTCTAAGCTATATTTCATGAATCACAAGCTTAAAGCTTTAGTTCCAAGCTTTTGCTGATCAATTACTAATAACTGATCAATAATTTTCATGTTATTTGAGGACTTTTAGTTTCCAGTACTCATGGCTTTCAAAGGTCATCTTTTAGAGTCAGGTTCTACATCACAGAGTAATGTTGTGGATTTTAAAAAGCCAAATACTTTCCTAGCATACATTTTGCAAGTTTAGTTCTGAGTTCTGTTGCTGTGGTCCTCTGTGCAGACAAAAATACCAGTTCAGGACCCCCAAGACCAAGTTCTTAGGGCAAGTTCTCAACATAAAGGAGATCTATTTGCCCCAATTGGATAGAGGGCATGGATAAGACACAAAGGCAAGAGATAGAGGAAGAGTGAGAAGGGGGGAAGGGAGGGGAACAAAGAAGAGGAGACAGAGTATTTGTCCTGGAGGGCACATAGAAAAATGGCAGTTTATAAAGGTACAAGGGGAACCCCCATGAAGTGTTTCATTTTAACTGTGCATGTGAATTAGGTGAGTCAAAGAGGGCTTCTGATTGCTGGACTTCAATTACTTTGATAGCTGGACCTTGTTAGTCAGCTTCAGGAGGAGGGATTGGCCAAATAAGGGATTAAACCTTGGTGGCTGGCTAGCTTCAGAAATGTAGTCTAATAGTTTTTAGGATAGGAGAATGGCAAGGCCTGGCACAGCTACATGCTTAAGTGGCCTAGATACTGTCCCTTCACTGTAGTCTACTCCCCCCCACAAAGCATCCTACACTACAATAAATACGAAAAACGGTCTTCACTAAGAGGCTTGCTTTATCTGCTCAATGGAGACCTGAGTGCACTCTGGAACTAACTCCTAAGACAGAACCTGAGAGCAACCCTTCATCAGCACTGACATCTGGTGGCCGTGGAGAGGCCAGCATGTCAATGCCCTACTCAAAGCATAGATCCAGGGAAAAATGTACCACCCCAACTTCAGCGGAATTTCCCTACTCCCCCTAGACCATCTTGCTTCTCCATGGAGCTGTACTCCACAGCTCACTTATAATCATACAGGGTCAGGATCATCTTCCATCATGTGTTCCTGAGTAAGCTACTCATACTCTCTAGGATTCCCTGTGACATCGTAAGAAGAAAACCATCTATGGTGAGAATCAGGGTATCTTTTTTGTTTGCCCTCTAATAGCCCCTTCAGTGTCAAGTTCCATACATCTTTCAGCCCTTCTAGAGAACTTATTAAGCATTGGGCTCTTTGCATGTGTTTTCCTGTGTGACCTTTATAAAGTCCTTTACCTTCATAAAGTGCTAGGAGATGGATATTACTGTTACTCTCGTCTACAGGTGAGAAACCTGGGGCTAACTTGCTCTCAGTTGTAGAGTGAACAGATGGTAAACTTGGAACTCCAACCAGGAAAGTCTGATGTTACTGTCTTTGACCTCTAGTCTTCTCCCCTAGTCTTTCCTGTGATTTCAGCCACCCAGCTGTGTCAAGGAAAACTAAGCACAGAAAGTCCTTCCTCACCTGGCAGTTGATAGCGATGACTGTGACCAGACCAAGCTCATAAGGAAGGCCCACCCACCCCTTATGAATATACCATAACCCTACATTAAGGGTAATAAACAAAGAAGGGCCTTGTCCCAGGTGACTCTCAGCATATTTCCTGGCCACTATGTAAAGGTGGTGACAACACTGATTTTAGTAAAGTTCTAAATACTGTGCCATTGCTGCTGATACAGGTTTCTGTCACCATTGATTTAAACCCTTCATTGGCTTCTCCCAGCTCCAGGAAAGAGCTCACATTCCTACAGAGTTTCATGGACTTCATCTGAACCCAGCCCTCTTCATCCTTATCTCCAACCCTTGACCTTGTCAGGGTAAAAAGGGCAACATGCTGAACTTCTTATCCCATCCCAGTGACACTAAACACCCATGCTTGTGTCCCCTTCCACTCCAACTAACCCCTCCCACTCCCAAACACTACCCACCCTTTCCCTGATCATCCACTTCAATAGAGGCAGAAGGATCCTCAGAAAGTCCTTCCAAATTATTCCTTCTTATGCCTTGGCCTCCCAGGCAACTACTGTTGAAATAAAATGTTTCTTCCTCATTCCCAGCTGAGATTCTTCTTAGGGGGCCAAAAAGTATTTCATTTCACATTGTACTCAAATGCACTGCATATAATTTAGATAGATGATAGAAGATAGGTACATAATTGAGATAGATGACAAAAGATAGATAATTGATAGAAGATAGATGATATATAATTGATAGATGATAGATGGATAGATAGATAGATAGATAGATAGACAGATGATAGACAGGTGATAAAGACAGACAGATATATAGAATAAATGGCCAGTGTTAGCATAGATTTTGGTAAGCCTTTCTTCCAGTGTTTCCAGGAAGAGGAATTATTGAAATTTGGGGCAAAGTAACTCATTAAGGAAACTGTCCTTCTGGAAAGAAGAATCTTCCCCAGGTCAAGAACCACGATAGCTAAAATGTGACTCAGTGATGATAGGATATACTTTGCTTTGAGTTGGGCACATGCAAGGTGTTTTGTTTGTTTTAATGCTCTGTCTCTAATGCCATTGCTTTTTCAGTCACGCCTCATCTATAAGTTCCTGGAGACTCTCTTGGGTGTCAATGAACTTGACATGCCAACCATAACATTCTGGTTAAAAGCCTGCCCACCACAGGGATGGCATGGGATTATAAGAGGACTCTATAGGGGCTGGAGAGATGGCTCAGAGGTTAAGAGCACTGATTGTTCTTCCAGAGGTCTTGAGTTCAATTCCCAGCAACCACATGGGAGCTCACAACCATCTATAATGAGATTTGCTGCCCTCTTCTGACAAGCAGGCAGACAACTGTATACATAATAAATCAACAAATCTTTTAAAAAAGGACAAAAAGAAGACTCTACACAGAAATGTTGGTCAGATTGCTAGAGCAGGGAGAACTTTCCCTTTTCTTTTTAACCAACCTTGTGAAAACAGCAAAAATATTTTTCTAAGATTTTCCATTCTTCATTGTGAACATTAGACACACAAGCTATAGACATCAAGTTTGGGTTTGAAGTAAATGGCCAGCCTGAAGCACTGCTTATATGCTGGGATTTAAAAGCTAAG